ATAAAATATACTAGGACAAACATCACAAAATAATCAATTAAAATCAATAATTTAAGCAGAAATACTCACATAAAAATCAGTAGGAAATCAATTATAATGATATTAATCAAAATAATTGATTTCAAACGGATTTTTTTATGATTCTTTCTGCTTAAATTACCGATTTTTTATTGATTATTTAGTGATTATTAAGGAAAATTTTTTTTATAGGGGTAGCTCCTATGAAATAATAGAGAAATTCGAAAATGAGTCATGTCGATTAATCTTTCTTCTTCAGCTATGACTATTTTAATGAGTTTATCAACAAAATCCTGTGATTTCCTTCAGAACCGACTTTTGAATTGAAAATATCATGAGAATGGTTATAATTCGAAAGAAGGATTTTAAAATTTTTCATTCGAAGAAGAGTCTAAATAATCACGTACTACATAAATCAACAATCATGCGTATCTTTGAAAAGTTTTTCTTATCAATTCAGATTTTTGAATGGAAATAAATATCAAATGTTTGCAAGTCTATAAAAAGATTTTAATTGATAATTCATTCATAGCCTTTCAATCATTCAATATGTCACAATTTTAAAATAAGTTGAAATATTTTCATAATTATATAATGTGAAATAATAAAATGAATAGACTTATGTAATCCAGAATAGTAATTTAAAAGGTTACATTATGAAAAACTGTAATATGGTTGGAAATTTCATTTCTATTGAGGTTATTTAGAATAATGTCAATGATTGCATGAAGAAATATTTGAAGAATCATAACATAATCTTGGATGAACTAAATAAAATAAACATGATCTAATTTTGAAAAGATTTTAATCGATTTTCATTTTTTACTTATAATAAAAAAATAAATTGATACAAGAATAGTTTCTACATTTATTTTATTGGTTACTCATTCTTTGGCTTGGTTACTGACTTGCAAAGATGACGCTAACGGGCGCGCATTTGAATTATTCGATGGAAACAGGATTGCAATTATTTTGACCCTCTTTTTTTGTTTAAGATTGAGTGAGATTTCCATCTTTCGAATTGATTTCATTTTAAAAACATCATACCAGTATGTGGGTATGGATAAAGATGTATGTTTGAATAGTGGTGTTTCGTAGAACCATACACACATGAATCCCCACATACTGAATGTTGAGAATAGGAATTTTTCTACTACAAGATATACAGGTAATCTAGACTTAGAAATGATAAGCATAGTTACATCAAGCAAGTTCCATGTTTATTGTTAAGATATCTTTGCAAGTTTTCATAATATTTAGAAAGTTATTGTTGCTGATCTAATTAAACATCATGTTCTATCTCGTAACATATATATACGTATGAAACACTGAAAAATTTTGTCCTTGAGAATAAGATATTACCGGTTTTTAAAAATAGAGACTGATTAGATCTTTCATGAATTTTCTTTTATATAAGAATTATTTGACAAAACTAATAAGATGAGTACAATAAAACGGTACTAACAATAATTGTTCCTATAAATATGATTACTAGTTATTACTTCAGAATAAAATTGAATCTTCCTTAATTAATGCTATTACAATCACTCAAGTCCTACAAATCGCCTCAGTTTGAATGGTTAATCACTGTCCATCGAGGATTTGCAATAAATAACGATTCATTGACGATTTCATGACCACAAGAATGATAAAGTTATTATCGATGTCATCTCTTTTTTATAACAACTGTGCCGCATTACTCGTATTGTACGATCCACTTTATGTGATACCAGCCCATCATGAGCGTTCTCTCTTTACTTTTAGTTGGTCGCATGATAGTATCAAAACTTGGTCACAGAGCAACCGTCTAAAATAAAGACTTCATGAAAGTGTAGTTCATATTTCATTCCATTACCATCGATAAAGTATGTGCTCCGAATGTGCTTTTCTTGGAATTGAAATGAAGATTGGGAGATTTTCTATGATGGTGCATTCAAATCTGAGGTCAGGTTTCTCACTTATGATAGCCTTTCAGCCAAGTTTTATGGCATCGTAGTGTGAGAGTATGTGAGTCATGTATACTTTCATACTATAAAACTACCAAGGTAAAAAATTTGCATCCACTGTCAGTATTTTAATTCTAATTTTACTGGTTTAGAATCAATGAACGAGCGGATTCAAGAAAATCATTTTATTATTTCTGTACAAGCTATCCAAAGTTGTACTGCTTGATATTACACATAAGAAACCCTTTTCTTGTCTTCGAAGATGAAGAAAAAATAAAAATCAAATGGCTTCAAAAACAGTTGTAACATCAAATGCGAGTTGTTGATGAAAAATCAACAATACTGTAGGTTGTACTGACATTGAAAATTCTATCTAAATTTTCGTTTAATATATGAGCCATTCCACATAAGCCACAAACGAAGGCGCTCAATCGATATTCTCTGATTTGCCTCATTTTAACATATGTAATAGAAACAAGTGTTTGATGAATTTTGCCCAAAGCCAATTTCAAAAAATGTTGAACCGTTCGGTTTTTATCTCATTTTTACGAAGAACACCCTAAAAACTCACTTTTACGATGTACTATTTTGGACACCCTAATTTCTCAACAAAATACAAATCATTGGAGCTAAAATTTTCTGTGCATCAACAACTAACTAAGTTCTACTCGAAAAAACAAATTTTAGCTTCAACTGTTGAATCATTGGTATTGTATGGACTGTACTGTTCGACGAAAAAACCACTCTTTCGACCAACTTTTGGTGTTCATATCTGCAGATTGGAAAATAATAGAGACCCGAAATTTTGTGATAAGTAGATCTTTATTCTGTCTAATCACCATATAAATTTGAGATTTCTAGAACAAAGCATTCTTGCAGTGTATCTGGAACAAAAATCGATTTTTCGCTGAAAAGTCGATTTTCTCAAAAAAACAAACCCTAACTTTTTTGCGTACCTACTCACCGTTGAAGACCACCCATTGATCTATAACTTGGGATAAGAATAAACTTGGGACGCACACCCGTCGTTTAGAAATCAATCGCTTTTTTTTCCAAAAACTGCACTCTAAGAATTTTTTGTTGAGTGCCTCACGTTTTTCGAGTATCCCGTGAATAGTGCATCAGAAACGACTGAAATTCTCAGAGAGGGTAGAACTAACACAACAGAGTAGAATATGTGCTACACTCATGCTTATACCATACTTGTTTACCTGTGAGATACTTGAATCTGTTTAGCTGAAAATGAATCAAAAATATATAAGAATGAGATCCGAATCAGATGATCTATATCCAGTTAGAATCAACTTGGAACTCCGTACAAACCTACATCAAAATATCGTTCAAAGATCCAAAACAAAAACTTTTTTCAAAAAATTGCCATGGGGGTGCGGGAATCTTCGGAAAGACTCTAAAGGAACAATCCTTGGAGAGGTGTAGGGAAATTTTTCAAAAAAATTGTTTTTTAATTTTTGAACGACATTTTGATGTAGGTTCGTACAGAATTCCAAGACAATTCTACCTGGATATAAATCATCTGATTCGGATCTCATTCCTATATATTTTTGATTCATTGTCAGCTAAACAGATTCAAGTATCTCACAGGTACACCAGTATAATATAAGCTTGAGTGTAGCATATATTCTACTCTGTTGTGTTAGTTCTACCCTCTCTGAGAGTTTCAGTTGTTTCTGATGAACTATTCGCGGGATACTCGGAAAAAGTGAGGCACTCAACCAAAAATTTTCAGATTATATTTTCTGCAAAAAAGATCGATCGATTTCTAAACGGCTCGTGTGCGTCTCAGTTTTATTCTTATGGCAAGTTATAGACCAATGTGTGGTCTTCAACGCTAGATGGGTACGCAAAAAAGTTAGGGTTTGTTTTTTGAGAAAATCCAGGTCCAAAATCGACTTTTCAGCGAAATATCGATTTTTGTTCCAGTTAATCTGCACGAATGTTTTGCTGTAGAAAACTGAAATTTATATGGTAGTTAGACAGCATTAAGATATGCCTGTGTTCAAAAGTTCAGGTCTCCATTATTTTCCAATCTGCAGATATGAACACCAAAAGTTGGTCCAAAGAGTGATTTTTTTTTGTCCAAGGGTAAAGTCCATAAGATACCAACGATTCAACAGTTGAAGCTGAAAGTTTTTTTACAAGCAGAAATTAGTTAGTTATTGATGTACAAAAAATTTCAGCTCCAATGATTTATATTTTGTTGAGAAATTAGGGTGTCCAAAATTGTCTCGCGTAAAAGTGAGTTTTTTGGAATGCTTTTCGTAAAAATGAGATAAAAACCGAACGGTTCATTATTTTTTGAATCGACTTTCGGCAAAATTTATCAAACACTTGTCTCTATCATATATGTTAAAATGAGGCATATCGGTGGATATAGATTGAGCGCTGTGTTAAGGAATCGGCTGTGGCTTACATGGAATGGCTCATATGAATCTCGAAACAAGTCATTCAATATTTTATTTCGTTTCTTCAATATCAGTTGGAAAATTTCATGATTGCCGAGTCAATTCAATTATTGGAACATGTTTAAGTAGAGTATAAATTATAAGTCATGAAAATTCATGAAAAAGTTATTTTTTTCAATAAAAATCAAGAAAATATGGGCAGAAATCATCTTCATGAATGATTTTGTCAGAATAGTATCTCACAATTAATCAAATTAATAAATCACCATAAAGTGCTCGACTTTTACAAGATCATCAATACGTGAGGAAGTATAAATTTCTCAATATCTAAGTAGTTATTGACATAATGATTGTTTGTACTATCTTTCCTGGATGAAGTATAGGAAATTCACATACACTCGGTATTTCATTGTATAGATTGTGATACAGAGTTGTGTTACACGTCAAAATAAGACAATCTGTAATTCGATTGAACACTCAACTTTTGATGAGCGACAACAGTTGTACAATAAAATGATCAATGTAACTATATTATGTGTCAGATTTGTTTAGGCAAAGTTTTTCTTAATGTTTAACAAAATGTATTTTGATTATTAAAGTAATTTAATGATAATCAACTTAAATTATTATGAGCAAGCATTTTATAATAAACTCCACGTCGTTGTGTCAGTTCTGTATGAGTACCACTTTCCACTATACATCCTCTATCAATTACACAAATCAAATCACATGAACGAATAGTTGAAAGACGATGAGCAATAATGAGTGATGTTCGAGTAGGATCTTCGGTTTGAGCTTGGTCAAGAGCCTCTTGTACAAGCTATAATTGGAAAATGAAGATGAATTTTTAATGGATAAATAGAAACAAAAATAAACTTGCTTGTTCATTATGTGAGTCCATGGCGCTTGTAGCTTCATCTAAGAGTAATACTTTAGGTCGACGAAGAAGAACTCGAGCAATAGCAATACGTTGTTTCTCACCACCTGACAAGAAACTGCCTTTCATCCCTACTATTGTTTCATAACCCTAAAAAGAAATATCATAAAGTAGTAATAGATACATTATGTAATTTTATATTCTTTAACCTGAGGCAATTGATCAATAAATTGATGAACATTAGCTCTCTTTGCTGCATCAATGATGTCTTCCATTGGAACATTTTCTAATCCATATGCTATGTTTTCAGCAATTGTTAAATCGAATAAAATAGGTTCTTGACTAACAAGACCAAAATGAGAACGAACCCAATGAAGATTTAGTAGCCGGATATCAACACCGTCAAGAAGCTAGATTGAGTGAATAGATTTTGTATGATTACTTAAACTATATGTTGAAAGAATACTAACTACTCGACCACTTGTAACATCATAGAATCGTTCCAATAGTTGAATAGTTGTTGATTTTCCGCAACCAGATGTACCTTTATAGAACATATTACATAATTAATATTAAAAAGAAATATTTTATTTAAACATACCCACAAGAGCCACACGTTGACCTTATCAGTGAATAAAAACTATTAATAAGATGATGAAGTCGAAATTTATCTAACTCACCTGGTTTGATATTTAATTGAAATTTGTTAAGAACAATAGATGTTGATCGAGTAGGATAAATAAATTTGACTCGATCAAATTTTATCTCTCCACGAAAATCAATCTACACGAATAATATTATATTCATGGCATATGCAGAATCGAGATAAAAAAATTATTCTCTATGTTGTCTTACCAATTCTTTTCCTTCTGTAGATGTATTATCAATAGCTGGTTTTCGATCAAATAACTCAAAAAAAGTGTCAGCAGCTGAGACTGATTCAGCGACACGTCTAGATCTATAACGGAGACAGTAAAAGAAAAAAATTAAACGAAAGATTCACAGTGTTACGTCAGTCCGATGAGCTTTAATGCTTGTAGCGAAAAAACAGCAAAAGAAAAGACCCTAATAAATTGAAAAAATAATAAAACATTGTGCTAAGATAATAAAAAATGTGGTTTTAATTACATTATAATATGATCCGAAGTGAGTTCATTGTTTTCAATAAGAATGACAGCACGCCAATACACAAATGCTAAAGTCCATGTATCTAATGACCAGAATATGCCATATGTCACTGAAGCTGGTATTAGAGGTTTCCAAGAAGATCTATGATAAAAAAAAGATTGATTAAAAATTTATACATATATAAAATTCGATTGACTAACATAAACAGTTCATCAATAAGTTCAGAATATTGTCGTAACACTTCCTTTTCTAATGACAACTGTTTTATTGTACGCAAATTGTGAATAACCTCAACAGCAAGCTGCAGAAAAAAGAACAAGTAGAATGAAGACAATGTATTTGATTTATCAAATAATTCATAACAAAAATAGTTTCCCTACAAAAATGAACGTTTTTCAAAATGAAACCTGAACTCACCGTGCTTGCTCGTCCGATAATTTGACGATAGCGTTGATTCAACCATATACGTAGGGACATATCTCCATACGTGACTATACATTGGATAACAACAGCACCAAAAACAATCAATGTTAATTGCCAACTTATAAGACATCCAAACAGGATACCAAAAAATGATAGTGCTGTAGCTTCACAGATGACTCCTAACCGTGAGCCAGTAATATCTTTAACTGCTGATGCATCAGAAGAAAGACGAACACAAATTGCACCAGAACTATTTTCAGGTCGATCAAAATAAGCAACTTCTTGACGAAGTAGGCATGCAAAGGCTTTCGAACGAATGCGTTGTATCAACTTTGATCCCGCTATAGCAAAAGCTGTATACTATAAATACAAAAGAGTGACTAAATTATTGATAAAATCCATAATCAGCATTTTTACTTGAAAGAAACGAAGAATTAATAAGAAAATACCCAAAAGTAAAAAAAGAAAACTACTAATCAACACGTGATGACGTCGTTCAGAAGTTGAACAATATTTGAATTCCTACACAATCAATAGATTTGGCATAAAACAATGAATATTATTAATCTTTTTTTACAATATTTATATGGGTGAATTACTAACATGGATTATTTCGGCAAGTAAAAAAGCAAACAATGGTTGAGCTGCTCCATTGAGTATACACGCTATACAACCAATCAAAATCGTGATCCATTCAGGACTATTCATTGATAATAGTCTTAAAAGAACAAATCTGTGTATCAATGGCTTTGAAATTTCCTAACAAAAAAAAGAGATTCATGATAATAGTTTTTCTAAAACATAATAAAAGTATTTGTACTTTGTGCATATCGACAAGTTGACTATCGCTAAATGAACGAGAGCGCTCAACTGTTTAAGAAAAGAGAAAAAAGAATCATGAAGATAGTGAGCAAAAGAATATTAACATACATATTGACTTTTCTTCGTCTTCTGTTGCTTTTTGTATGCTTATCATATCATCTTGATCATCATCAATTCTTTCCATTTGTTGACGTTTGACCATTGTTTGATATTTTCCTCCTTCTTTTGCCATCAATGTCTCATGTGTACCTTGCTCTATTACACTTCCATTATCCAATACATATATTTGATCAGCATTTTGAATTGTAGTCAGACGATGAGCAATCACAATAGTTGTACGACCTATACAGAATGATATATCAATATGATCAGAAGAAAACAGTGTTTTAACCTTTGCATGCTCGATCAAGCGCTTCTTGAACAAGTTTTTCACTAACATTATCAAGTGCACTTGTTGCTTCGTCCATCAAAAGGAATGTAGGACGTTTGACAAGAGCACGAGCTAATGCAATACGTTGTTTTTCACCACCACTCAACTGTATACCACGTTCGCCAACAAGTGTTTCATATTTCTAAACAAGAAATAATAATACATATATATATATATAGCTAAATATGAATATTTGGCACAAACATTTGGTAACTGCATGATAAAATGATGTGCATTGGCTTCTTGTGCTGCTTCTTCAATTTCTGCTCGTGTTGAATTTACTTTACCAAAACGAATATTTTCATAAATAGTTGTACCAAACAGAACCTGTTACGATGATAAATGAAAAAACACAAGGAAAAAAGAAGAATGAAGAAAAAAGTATACGGGTTCTTGATTAACAACTGCAATGTTTTGTCGAAGTTGATGAACATCGTAGTCTGTTATCGGCTGACCATCAATCGTAATTCGACCCGATGTAGGTTCATAATAACGAAGAAACATTGATAGACATGTACTTTTTCCTATGAATAAAGTATGAGCACAAATTAGGCCCTTTTAATGTTTTCGTTTTGAAAAAGACGTACCACAGCCACTTGAGCCTACAAGAGCAGTTGTCTGGCCAGAACGAGCAATAAGAGAAAGGTTACGCAGAACGGGTGTTTCTTGTCGAGTTGGATAAAAGAAGCTGACATTGTCAAATTCAATATCACCATTGATGTTATGAATTGATTCGCTATCCTCTTTCCATACATCTGTTTCATTGATACTTGTGTCCCTTTCCTAGATCATATAAACAAACAGGAAACACCGCTATTAGTATGAGACCACAATTTCCTCGAAATTACCTCGTCAATAAGTTGCAACACTGCTGTTGCAGCACCTCGAGCTTCTGAAAATGCTTGAAAGTGAGGACCAATAAAGTTGAAATAATTCAAACATCGTGCAAAGATGGTGATGACCTGAATTGATATAGTAGTCGTACATTCACTTTCTTATTGACTGATTATATGAATTACTCACGACAAGTATATCACTAATACTCAAATTATTATGATTTCCGTTACCCATAAGAAGAGCACCAAAGATAAAACCAATTGTATAGACTAGGTAGGACACTAGAGCAAGCCATCCAGAAAAAATTCCAAAAATCGCACCTTGACGTATACTACTCCAACGAGTTGATCTCAATTCTCTTTCGTATCTAAATACAATAAAAATAATAAGTTGCTTGGTGATCTAGAATAAGTAAATTATTTTTATATGTTTGTTTACCGTTTTTGCTCAAATTTGCTACCATTGAGAGAAAGAACAGTTCGCAGTGAGCTAAACACTTCTTGAACAATTTGTCCTGCTTTTGAGTATGTCATTAACTCTTTCCTTGCTTGCTTAGCAGTGAGCTGTAACAATTCATACATATTTAATTGACTGAGCAATATTGCATACCTTAGAAAATACAAATGAACTACCAAAGATCAAAGGTATTAAACATAGCATGATCAAAGTCAATTGCCAGTTGACAATGAAAGATGCTGTTAGAGCACCAAACATAAGAAATACAATTGCAGTTAACAGTACGAACTCAACACCAATGCCTTTGTCGATTATTGTAATATTACTATACAATAATTGGACTAGATGAAGTTGTTTAACATAAATTATCAAAAAAGCTTACTCAAATAGTTTACTATTGAGTTGACTAGTCGGCTTGGTATCTATATAAGGAATATTCTACAAACAAAGAGAGAAACACAGTTAGAGATGGACAAATTCGACTTGGTGTTGACTTCATCTACATTTTCTAAATCCCACTTTAACTTTAACTTAAGATCATCTGAAAATCCTACTGCAATTCTATATGTAAAAACTCAATGCTTCACTCAGTTTTATTTTATAAAGTTGAACCTTTGTCGATCTGCTTGTGCTATTAACATGATTTCGGACAAATTGTTTATTTTCATTTGACAAGTTACCAAGTCACTAGAGATGTTATAGTGACTGATAAAAATTTATCGAGTTAAACTTTACTCCAATTTTCATTTCAATGATTTTTTTGACTATAGGCAATAGATAGTATTCTAGTAGAAGCCTGAAAACGGTTTCAGTTCTAATTGAGACTCTGTGGTACTATTTAATTTAAAATATGTCTAGTTGTCAGAGGCCTCGAAAAGATCTTAGGTTTTCTGAAAATTCGTGCAATTAGACTTTGTGTTGAAGCTGTATCTATTGGAAGAACTTATATATAGTTGCTCGAATGAAGAGTTTCACTCTTATTAGATTCCGTATCTCTGAGATGGTAACTTTCAAAAATGGATGCTTTTCAAAGCTTATAGGAAAAAAAGAATAGTTTGAATAATTTATATTTCAGAAATACAAGGTCTACCAACTGTGAAACACTGCATACAAGCTAATGCATATGAGTTTTTTAAATGGAGACAGTTTCAAGAGAAAATTCAAAATTAAGAATTTCAAAAATCCAAAGTCCACAAATATCACTAACAACTAGATATTGTAAAAATTCAATAGTTGCACGAAGTCCTAATAGGAACAGAAATCCTTCGTTCATTTCTAGCAGAATACTATCTAGTATCTACAAATGAAAAACGATTGAAATATTTGTGGTTTTATTAATTGTAAAGCCGTCTTCATCTACTGAACTTGAAAGTTTTTCGTAAAACAATAAATGATCGTATTTGCTGTATAAAATTTCAAAATGATTATATTTTTTGTTAGCTTCTAAGGAAATATTTGGTATTTGGACGATAGTGAAAGTTGAACATACATTTTTACTATATCCCTCGATCCTTAGTTTTAGATGTACAAATTCCAGACATATAGTCATCTCCATGGACCTATATCCCCCTGGAAAAAATAGTGACACTCGATATTTCGAATATATTTCCACTATAAGACCACACCTTTTTAAAAGCACTTGCATATTCTGAAAGCCCGTGGAGCTTTCTATCACTCTGTATAATTAGGTTTTAGTTTCGACCTATTCATTATCAAAATAAATTGAGAACAATGAAAGCACCCTCATGTTCAGATTCCCATAAACTTGATTTATCACTGTCGTGAAGATTAGTTTTTTAAATTTTTTATCACTATAGTACCATCTTTTGAGAAAAGTAATTATATATTCTGATAGAGCTTGAAATTGTCTATCATCCTGTATATTTATTTATTTTCTTACGTTGATTTATTTTGAAAAAATTTGAGTACAATGAACACATCGTGAATCGACAGGTACCAAAAGTCTGCATTTTTTTCGCTATTTAAATTCAAGACACTACATTAATACATAGGATGATAGAGAATTTCAAGCGCTATCAGAATATGTAATTTCTTTTGGAAAAAATTATTCCTATAGGAATAATAATTGGAGGGAAAACTAAAAAAAGTGGCGAAAAAATGCAGATTTTTTATGCTTGTCGATTGAGGGTGCGATCATTGTACTCAAATTATTGTTCAACAAATAAATGTAAGACAATAGCTAAATATATGGGATGATAGAGAATTTCAAGCTCTATCAGAATACATAATTACTTTATTTTAGAAGGATATTTCTATAGTCGAAAAGTTTAAAAAACTAGCTGAGGACACAAAATCCTGTCTGTGGGGAATCTGGACACGAGGGTGCTTTCATTGTTCTCAATTTATTTTGATAATGAATAGGTCGAAACTTAAACCTAATTATACAGAGTGATAGAAAACTCCACGGGCTTTCAGAATATGTAATTGCTTTTAAAAAAGTGGGGTCTTATAGTGGAAATATATTCGAAATACCGAGTGTCACTATTTTTTTCCGGGCGGATATATAACTTTCATCTAGATATGTTAGCTTATTTCATTGGTTTGCTAGAATTGATAATTTGTGAATGTTGGAATTTTTAAAAAAGAAGCAGTATAAGATGTTGTAAATTCATAGTAAAGTTAAGAGTAGGTTGGAATTAAACTTTGGAGAAAATTTCTTTTTATAGACGGACGTGTATTTGACTTACGCGTTGAACAAGTGTCCGAAAGAGAGAAATACTCATACGAGACAACTGTCGTTTAATACTAAAGACCCACATGAAATGTGCAGTCGAACTGGCCAAAAACTGGACGGCACCAGTAACTACATTGACGAAGAAAAAAAGACAATACTCATTATTTGTAATTAGCAAATTTCTACGTTGGTTTCACTTACTGAATAGCCAATAAACCATGTTTGTAACTTTTTCTCGAAATGGTGGCATTGGTGTAGGTAAGGTTGATAAAAAAATTGCAGCAGTATTGTGGGGCGGTCTAGGGTGAAAAAATAGCATAGGAAAATAGAAAAAATGCATAGTAACTAATAATAGTTTTTATTGAATTACTTATATGCCTGACCATTGTTGAATATATTGGATTCGATGCCTTGCGAGTATGTAGTGTTATTAATATTTGGTGTTATTGAGGTTTGGTGCTGATCCTCACAAGTATTGCCAAATGATTGAATAGCAAATATTCCTGTGAGTAGTCCGAAGATAACTAAGTTAGCTAGAATACAAATCACATGTAGCACTGCCAAACACATAGCAATACACATCAGCAAAAAATCGATCCGATTTGCAAATTGAAACTACAATAAAAATTGAAGACATGAATCAGTTTCTATTTCATCTGCATACACTTACTAATCGAAAAATACCCGCTGCTTGATCTTTGCGATTATGTTCATGATCATCATCTAATTTTAAATATTTATTTGCGCTGTCTTTTCTACTGAAGCATCGACGCCAATCAGAAAAACTACAAACAATGATAAATTCATTGTATTTTTCTCGAAGTTAGTCCAATATTAGATCATACCTATCGGTCAAAAATTGTTTTTTGTTTTCATCATGATCGTCATCATCGCCAACAGACAATTTGTTGGATGCGTTCAACAGAGGTTGTCTATCACTCATGTAACTTTTTTTGTCAATCAGGTAATTATGAAAAATATAGAATGAGAATATTGTGCAAATTAATTTAGTAAAAAATGTTCGTGACGGCCACTTGACTGCTCATGCGTTTCTTTTCTTTTCTTTGACTGTTAATTAAGCAAAGAGGAGGCGTGTGCAATCAAGCGATCATCGAAACATTAGAAATTATTAATGAAAAACAACCTTGAAAATATTTTTAGTTGTATATTGGTTACAGTTGACTTGAGAGTACAGTGAAGTTTGAAACACGGGAATTAATTTTAAAAAGCTCTCTTGTAATAAATTTTATAATAGAAATAAAGCATTATAAACAAAGTGTGGTGATTAATCTAGACAAAAGCTCGTGAAATAAAGTTACATTCAACATCATAAACAAAAAGCTTCAATGTTTTCTCAGCAGCGTGTAGTTGTATCAATTAATGAGGACGTTACTGTTATTTATGCAGAAATGATTCACCATGTAAAGTCATACATATAAAGGAGAAATAAAAAAAACAATATAAACATATATTTATTACGTACAATTTTTGCATATATATTTCTATTTAACAAGAAATTGTTCTCTTCTAAATAGATATGCTTCAACAAAAAGAAATGCAAAAAAATTCAGCAACAAGAAATAGAACGAGAGAATATATAACATACATAAACCAATTACTATTCTGCGAGTTATATTTCATTGTTAATTGTTCCTTATGAAGGTAGAAATAGATAAATAAGTTCACTCTTGTGATTATTTCATTATTGTATACAGGATTTACTTTCCGCGGATTTACTTTCCATTAATTATTTTTGACTTTAATTGATTTTTTTTCAAGGAAAAATATCTTTTTTGCTGTCGAGGATTTACTTTCCGTTGATTGTTTGGTACATGAGTAATAAGCAAACGAGTTGTCATTCGGACATCAATTCAATAAAACAATGATTAACTGAATTTTTAGTTTCAAATGAGCAATGCTCATTAATTTCGAAGCTATATTAGTTAACCGGGATAGTTTCGTAAAAATGAATACAAAACTGGGGATAAAAAACTTTTTTCTATTCGTACCTAAAAAATGTCTGATGAATTTATTGAATCAACACATGGTAAAACGCAATTATGTTCTCTCGGTTATCGATATTGTTTCAAACACAAAAATCAAAATGGATCCGAATACTGGGTTTGTGTAAAATGTACAGCATCAGCAACAAGTTATTCAGATTTGTCCGTTGTAGCACGTGATGAACATACATATTTATCTGATGAAACTGACAAGATTGTCTTAGAAATGTGAAAAAATTTAAAACGAAAAGCTATAGAAGATTCTGGTCCAATAGATCGTATAGTCGAAGAAATTTATCATAAAATTAATATTAGATCCAATGATTTGCTTATTAATTTACCGTCTATTAACACACTAAAAAAAAATTTACACAAGCAACGTCGTAAGACTCGTCCACCAGTTCCTCGAAAAATTGAACAACTTCTGTTACCATTACCTGATGTTTATTGTAAAACAACACAAGGTGATTGGTTTTTTGTTATATGATGAACTACTTAGCGGTACTCTTTCTCTCATTTTTTCCACTTATAATGATATCGTTTATTTATCACAACAACAACATTGGTATGGTGATGGCGCATTTTATACATGTCCATCTATTTTGTATCAGACTTACTCTATTCATGCATGTTATGATGGAATTTCTACTCCATGTATCTTTACATTACTTGGAGGTCAATCTGAAGAAATTTATTTTGATTTATTTGCAGTAATATTCAGAAAAATGATGGAATTTCAACTATTCATAAAATTACGCACCATTACCATTGATTTTGAATTAGATGTTACTAATGTATTTACTAAACATTATCCAACTGTTACCGTTCGCGGTTGTTTATTCCATTACGGACAAGCTTTATTCCGTAAATTTGTTGATATTGGTTTAAAAACACCATATAAATATGATGAAAATCTTCGTGATTGGTTTCGATCTTTTGCAGCAATATCATTATTACCATTACATCACATGTTATGGGGTATACAATATTTAGTGGATATTAGACCTAATTATCCAGGTACTCAAGAATTTCTTGATTATTATCATAGTACATTTGGGCCGTTCAGTCGATTTCCACCATACATGTATAATCATTATCGTAATATTACACCTCGAACAATTAATTATTTGAAAGGTTGACATAATCGTATAATGAAGAAACATGTTAATTCTCCACATCCAAATATATACATTGCAATTGATTTATTACAAAAAGAACAAGCTTTAGCCTCGATTATGAGATTACAAGACGATCTGGGAGGTCCAACTCCAAAACGTCGCAAGAACAATGTTATTCCAGATGAATGTTTGATGAAATTATGGCAACGTTATGATGAAGGTCGTATTGATATTCCAGCATTCTCAAAAGCAGCTGAGTTGAGATACTTTCAACGTGCACCAAAAAAATAAACAGTTACCTCTTTTCCTTATTTATTCAATATTTGTTGAAACTTTTTTGTTGTTGTCTATATATTTATTGTAATTTTGCTCTGACAAGACATTGATTATCACAATGATAACTCGTTCGCTCATTTCTTATCTACCAAGCAATCAACGGAAAGTAAATCCACAATTTAGAAAACGACTAATTGGAATAGAGTTTTGGGTGTGGGTGTGGGTGTGAATCTGCAGTTCAATCACACCCCACCCACACCCACACCCTTTGATCTGGGACCTATGTGTGCATCAAAGTAGAGTTCAACCCGAAATATTCTTTTCCAAATCGAGATTCACATTTCAACTAATATTATCGAAACAGAAAACCAATATCAGAAAGGCAACTTGTGAAAATAAGTTACTCGCATTCAATCATAATGGTAGCTATATTTTCCTTCATTGACTTGATGAAATAGATCACCAATAACTTACTCATACGGTTACGACTGCTCGTGTACTTACAATTGACAATGTTAAACATTCTTTTTTTCTATTTGAAAAGTGCTATTCAGATGTGTTTTAGACAATGCAAATCAAATATGCAATTGAGATTGTCTCCCATTCATAAACCTCTATTTTTAAAGCTTTATGTTGCCATATAAGTCTTGTTGTGTACTTTCGGCAATAGTCTGGTTTCTGTTGCTTTTTCATAATTTTTCAAAAGTTTTACTGAAGATGTCCGTATCAAAAATGTTGAATTGTTTCAAAATATCAAGTATTGATATCTTTTTAAACTTATCTTAAACTTTCCATGATGGAGAAACTAACTGATGTGTGTGCAATACTGAGCTTTCTTAGATTTGAAACGAATCAACTAGTCTCTTATATTCATTTCTCGTCAGTGTTTATACAAATAGCGTACCTGAATTGTATGCAACAATCTTCATTTATGTAAGCATTTTGCTTCACGTCTATCGATTTGTTAAGAAAGGAACTTCAATTTCATTGCTAAACATTATTGTAGCTTTTTTTTCAAACTTTTCTTTTTGGGTTGTGTTATGTTCTAAATAATCTGAGAATATCTTAAGAAGAAAAAACCACGCTCTATCAGTTGGTAAAGCCAGGTATTTCTTTTATGATCCAAAATTTAAAAAAATTGAATATTTTTTCGTAAAAAGTTACGCAAAGCACTGACATCATGAACAATCGTAAGCAATCCAATGTTTTGAGCTGACATCTTTACTATGAACTACACATATACGAACATAGACTCATTAAAAATTCTAGACAGCTCTCGTGTGTTGAGATAATAACAGTTTTGGATTTGTCTATCTATGGTGTCGCTGTTGACTTATTATATGTAAAAAAAAAAAAAAAAAAACAAACGTGCTGAAAAATATGAAGTATTTGATTCGAACGACATCTTTTATGTCAAAAAATATTTGCATGATTCTGAAAAATCCAACTTCAAAGAGGTTTCCTACCTCAATTTTATTAGCGGAATAACAATATTTATATTATTCCATTTTCAATCTAGTCGATCATCGAACTGTAAAAAAAACAAAAGTTGATATCTTTGAGATGTCGATCAATGATGATGCGTTAATATGGATTGATTTAGAAATGGATGGATTAGATGTAGAAAAAAACTGTATCTTGGAAATTGCTTGTATTGTTACTGATTTCAATTTAACAAATATTCATCAAGGTATTTTGATTTTTCAATTTACATTTTCTATTGATAAAATAGTTCCTAGGGCCTGATCTTGTAATTCATCATCCAAAATCATTACTTGATGCAATGGGACCATGGTGTATGCTACATCATACAAGGTCAGGCCTTGTTGAACAAGTCTTAGATAGTAAATTATCAATGTTTGATGCTGAAACAAAAATAATAAATTTTATTGAACAAGTAACGTCATTTTCGACAAATAAACAACGTCTTATTCTTGCTGGCAATACTGTTTATGTTGATCGATATTTTCTTGAAAAAGATATGCCACGTTTACATTCTTTACTTGATCGATCAATTCTTGATTGTAGCACATTGAACGAATTAATCTATCGTTTTAATGAAGAAATTTGTTACGATATGCCGATTAAAAGTGGAAATCTTCATCGTGCATTAGATGATATTTGTAATAGTCTTGAAGAATTAAAATATTATCAAAACTCAGCTTTTGAAGAAAAGCAACAAACTCAACAAATTGAATTACCTTTACGAAAAGATATAGCAGGATATCTTGTATGGATAAATATTAATTCATCAATAATACATAGTATTTTAACTGATAGTAACCTTAATATAATTGATGAAATTATTGATGGAAAAACAAATGATGATTTAATGAATTTGTTTCATCGAAATAAAATTTATGAAGAAAAAATTATTGTTGTAGCCGGAAAATTTCTTGGTCCAATTCGAAGTCAATTAAAAAAAATAGCTCCCCAATTTAATGAATTTTGTCATTATCGATCAGTTGATGTTGATGTTGTTTCAATTCTATGTGAAAAATGGTTTCCAAATACTTATGAACGACGGCCCTTTAAGGATGATGATGATGATAATCATTTAAAGAAATCTATTGAACTCCTTCGTTTTTATCGTTCGACTATATTTAAATAGAGAAGAGAGAATCAAATCACCAAAAATAAGAAAAAAGTTTTTATAAAATATTTATAAAAAAAGGATTAGCATTTTTAAATGTTACTGATGAAATTATTCAATGAGTGGGTGATATAGGAGCAGAAAACGGTACATTTATTGTATGATTCATTGATGATTACTTTGTTTCACTATTTATTCGCAATGTACGATGAAGAACCTATTGAATTGATTGTTGAACTGAATACAAATGTTGATTGATCGACAAACATTGTCCAATAATGACTGAGCACTAGGAAATCTACGTTATGAAAAAGGAAAGAATTCTTCAATAAAAGGCGAATATGATAATACTAGAATTAAGATAAATAAACACATATACATATACGAGAAAAAATATATCCCTGGCTCTATAACAGTTATTGATAGTAAATGAATGAAAAATTTATAAAAATAATTGAACCATACTTATTTCGTGTCTAATTCAGGCTGAACTTTATTTATTTCTGTTTTAGTCTATCCATTCCTTATACTTTGTTTATTTAAGTATATATTTATACTTCGTAGTAATTGTTTTTTAATATCGATTTAATTAATTGTTTTTATTCGACTAGGTAAAACAGTTATGTTCAATGATTAACACACTAATTATTTACTAGCTGTAGTGTTGAGCATGACGACTATGACTTTAGATAGTCAGAAAAAGAATCCTACATACTCATACATACTGGTTGAGCTTAATAACACTAATTCTATGTCAAAGGAAACTATGTAGATAACAGTGAATAATGTTCGTGAAATATACATGACGGCAATAGCATTTCTGACTTTCATAAACATTAAAGATGCTACTTATCAGTATAAATCCATTGTCATGCATGGATGTGAGTATCGTGTCTCCTCGTTACACACACCATGCTCACTATCCCTATGCAAACCTATACTCACGCCTGCCATTAAACCCATAACCGCACTCTACTTATGGAAGTCGTTAAATATAGGTACAAAATTTTGAAACTGTCGCTAATGCTCAGGATTACTGTTATCATCTGGAGTACCATTCACTCCGCTGTTCTGTTTATGAAAAGTGTTTATTTGGTATAGAATTGAAGGAGGATACATCGTATTGCTGATGCTAGGTCCTTAGACAAGTAGCTTTGAAAGTTTTGTACTTGAATTCTGATTTCGTTCTTTATTTCTTGTTATGCTTAGGGTGTTATTATTTTTGTTTATATATCAAGAAAGTTGAGTTAAATAGTATTTTAAAAGATAGAACAGGCTTTACACTAAACAAAGCTGTATATTCGGACATTGTCCAACGAAGGGTGTAAGTATGGTGGGTGTGGGTGGGTTGGGTGAAGAGAAGATTTACGCTAGCCCACATCCACACCTTTTGCTTCACTGATCATGGATTCAAAACATCAGATATTTTCACATTATCTATTTTATTTAATAAAATAGAAAGCAATTCTTTCTGTCTTATTTTTCATCTTATAATATGACTGTGTACACACTCAAGATTTTTTATTCCAACTTTATAATAATATCAGTTGTTGTGGTATGAGTGAGCATATGAGTGCTGCATTAACTGAAACCCACATCCTAATCGATTGTATCTGTTACTTTGCAATCTCACAAAAATTTCTTGATACTCAGTCAGTGCTCCCATCAGCGCTGAGAATTCATTTTCAGAAACTCTTCGAAACTGTTGAGTTACATTTATGAAAAAAGTTTACTTATTACTTTATTGGATAAGTGTCTTAATAACTTGAGCCACTGTTTTGGTTACATTGTCAATAGAACAAGATATAGATGGCTTTTCAGAAGAATAGAAAAAAGCGCAAACAAATAGGTGACAGATAAAGGCAGAATAACGTAAGACAGCCTTGCGTTCGTGCAGAATTATGACTTACTCAAAAAAAAAACAATATTTGTTCTGTGAAAGATATATACTATTCTGTTTCATTCTGTCATTGGAGAGTAGCTCGACAGAAGATAAACCTTAGTCACTTCTATCTGTATCATTATCTTGCTGTACGACTCAGAAAAATAGTCGGTAGAAGTAAAAAACGTATATATTCCTCTGTCTAATACTTGCCGCTGATCATCCTCTACAAACAATTTCCTCTTCGAAACTTCATGACCAACGAAGATAAAGAAAAGGAGCTTTCAACTGAAATAAACCAACTACCCCTTCCAGAACCGAAGACACTGAACCTGTTACGCACGCATTCAGCTACTTCTCTGCAATGTCAGGTAGTACCTGTTACCAAACCGGATCCATCTGTATCCAAACCATCTATAATATATTTTCTCTCACTTTTCTATGCTTTTCTCTGTATGGGATTTGGAACGGGCATCACCACATCAACGTTATTGAAACTTGGTGAACAAACGAATTCTATGATCGACCAACTCACCAGTATATTTTTTACTCGTTCATGTGGTTTTATGAGCGGTACAACACTTGCCGGGCTGCTCATTGATCGGTTTCATGACTTTGGTAACACATTTTTAGCAATAGCAGTTTTTATTATGAGTTCAGTAACATTTTTGATTCCATTTATCTATCTATTGATCCTATTACTTCCTTTGCAACTGGCATGGGGTTTAGCAGCCGGTATCACAGAGAATCTAAGTCAAGTCTTGACAATAAGACATTATGCACACCATAATGTTGGTCCATATTTGCAAGCTTTACACAGTGCATTTGGTATCGGAGCTTTCGTCTCGCCACTTATTGCAGCTAAGTTCTTGTCCGAGCGACAAGACAAGAATCAATGGCACTACGCATATTTTATTATTTTTCTTCTACATTTGCCTAGTCTTGTTTGGCTTTTATACTATAGTGGTCGTAATGAATGCTACAACAAGTTGGATTCAGAAAACAGACATACAACCGAACACGAGACGGAAGAGTTTCTTAGCAAGAATCATGTTATTCTTGCCAATCTCAATACTGACCAGACGAAGAAACCGGTAAAGTCCCAACTATTATTCGTCTGGTTGCTGGCGCCATTTTTCTTTTGTTATGCAGGATGCAAATATGGTTTTATCTCTTATTTACATACGTACGCAACCTTGTATCTTCACTTTTTGAAAGATACCGCTGCTTACTTGAACTCGGCGTTCTGGGCAGCCTTTGTTATTGGTCGTCTATGTGGAATATTGTTCTCACTCAGACTCTCTCCGCAGAAAATGATTTTTATGGATCTCGCTGGTTGCATAGCAGCACTTGTTCTTCTTCTTGTATTTAATCGATTGCCTTTCATTCTATGGGTGGGATCCATGCTTTTTGCCTTTTTCATCGCAACTATTTATTCATCAACGATAACATATGCTGAAAAATACATCACGATGACAGGCAAACGTATGTCCTTGCTCACTGTTGCGGCTGCAATTGGAGACGCAACCATTCCATTGGTGGTGGGTATCAGCATCAATTCAACGTTTTTCGGTCGTCCATACTTTATTCTCGTTACGCTTTCTATTATTGTCGTTGCATCACTAATTTTTGCTTTTAATGTTCTATGTATTGTGCGATCTTCGTCGTTGTCGCATACAGATATAAAAAGCACGTCTACAACTCAAAACAAAAGATCAAAACAAATAAACTCCTCATATGAAACAGACTTCAAGCAGCCTAAAATGGATATTACAACAGTCAATAATTAATTAGTTTAATCTACATGTATACAACTGTTTCTAGCAAAACACATTTTCTGAACAAATGAACAACTTTCAAGTGTATCAGACACTGTTTTCAAGAAATGAACTCTTTTCTTTTTTCAAATTTTTACTACCTCATACGGATTTATCAGAAAAATCCAATACATGAGATGTCGAAAAACTTATTCATTCAATATCTTTCTGGAATGAAAGAAATTAATTATAGAGACTTTTCGATTTCATTCAACAGGTTATTTAATAAAAGAACACTTCGTAAAATGACACATCTAACTGACTGAGAACGTTGTCAAAACTTCCCTACTTTTAAAACTATTTCATCAGCTTATGAGCTTGTAAGAATTTCAACATAGATCCTTTTCTAGCCTTTAGAAAGCAGTCTTATTATTTGGCTTTCATTGACTCATTGAAATCAAAACCACGAGAGAAGCCTTCTTTCTAACGGATACTTATGAATACTTCCAAATTTACTCTACAAAAGTGTGACCATATGTCATTTTCTTTGCACTGTTCGATAAGTTGAGCAATCATGAAGATAGGCGTGGCTGCCATATTTCGGATCCATTCTAGAGGTCTGAGCTATGGTGTGAATCTCTTCACTTACTCACACCCACTCGAGTCTATGTTGAAGGTTTTGTTAATGTTTATTTACTAATCTATCATAAGATCAAAAATATTTCGGAAAAAAATTTTGATACAAGTCTTAGTAATGTTATGAAACGACTGAATACAAATTGAAATACAATGACTCTATCAAAATATTGCATAAAAGAGTTACCATTGTGCTAGCTTGAGAGCAGCTAGATATTTGAGTGTAGGCTTTTTCTGGATGTGGGTGTAATTCTTTGCTTCATCCACACACACTTCCACACTCTTGAAAATTTAAGCCATTTTTTCAGATATCAACAATATTTATGTGTAATGCTGAATGACTTAAACTAGGGTGTGGGTGCGAGTGTGTGGGTATGTTTGGACCAATAGAAAGCCTAAATCGATATCTATAACACACTTAAAAAATAAAGTTTTTGTTTTTTCTCTTCTAACATTCAATAAATCAAATCAATCTCGTGAAATATTCTGTGCTGAAAATTCTCAGATATGTTGATTGGTACTGGATTTACGACAAAGACACTTAAATGGAGATTATTGCTACTCGTATCTATTACACATCAACGCAAACTCAAACTCAAATTTGAATGATATATAACTCATTCACAAGAACATTCGAACAACTTGGAATGAGTCTGCAATAATATTTATCTACACTTGCATGTGTCTATGAAAAAACTTTTATCCCATGCATTATCTTTATGTCAATTTTACTTGATTGAAGTAACTTTTTTTGTAAGTCATGCCTTAATTTTAATTAGTTTTCTCACTATGCATTGTGACAAACAAAACACATACGAATATACTCCAACATATGGTACTTGGTAATGAAATGTTTCCATTCATCCGGTCGAATCAGCATTTTCTTTCATTGGAGGTAATGAGAAGTTGGACATTGTTGCGGAGCGAACCATCATCCAAGGGTAGCAATTATTGATGAACGGGCAGCACCCGGTTTTCCTGTTGGTTATTATCTACACGAAACTCTTCTTCAACGAGTCAATCTATTGCATGTTACAAGTCATACTTTTGTACTCTATGATTGATTATCCATTATATTTAAAGAAATCGTTTATTGATACAAAAATGAATTTTTATGCAAGAGAGATTCTGAAAATCATATATAGAAAACATAACCAACAAATATATTCAAAGTTGATGATCTATTATTGGCTTGTAACTTTGCCCATGCGGAAAGACCATGCTATCATAATAATTTAAGGCTAATGAAACGAATTCTTTCAGCTAGTAAGACAAAAGTGGGAAAAGGAGGAGATTTAAAGTCATGTACATGTGGAGAAATCCAAGTTGTATTCACTGTAAAAAAAACAAACGAACTCGATTTGTCAGGAGTAAATACAGAGAGAAAAAGAACTCTTTCTCACAAAATAAGAACAAGCAAAAAAATAGCTTACTGATTTCGTTGAAAAGACAAAAAAGAATTCGCTGTGTTTTTGTTTTCTTATGTGTGTCATCGAAGTCGTTCGATTCTTGCTTAACATTTGCTTTGTCTTGGTTTTTTCTTTTTGATTATAGATGCAATATGATTATAAAAAGGTGTCGAAATGATGATTACCTACTACTTCTGGGCATTTTGCACACATAATGTCGGAGTTTGTGCGTATCTTCGTACTTTTATTTACTAGTATCTGACTAAATCTATTATGCGAAACAAAAAATCAATCTACACGTGAACGAGAGTGGATATCTCTACTCGAATACTCAACATTTAAATTATGAGCAGAGAATATGATGAAGTCTATTAACAGTAGTTTATTAACAAAACTTCCGTTAAAGTAATGGTAAAGTATCAGATCGAAGTTTGTTTCTATCAATCGGCTGACTAAGCATGTCACCATTTCGTTTGCACAACCGTCAGTAGCACATTTTATATAAATAATCTATGAGGTTATTTTATCGATTTTAATCTATTTTTTATCAAATGAGTAATTCGTTTGAGAAAAAGCAAGAACTCATACGTCATGTCATTACTTTTCTTGTAGAATAGGTCACGGACTGTGTTTAAATAAATAGGAAAAAAATTATTCGTGACACTTGAATAATCTGATTTCTATTGATTGCATTTTACCATTCTAAGGAAGTTAAAGTATTGTAGTCGTTGTACTAAAGAGAGGGATTTCATCACGGAGCTACTGTATTATATTGATAGGTTGTCGGAAGAATGTATTTTTTAATAATCTGTGCTAAGTCTTTCGATTTTTGTCTAAACCTAGAGTTAACATTAGGTTTGTACTCACCATGCATGATTGAATCGTGATGACTGTATAGAAGTAACTTAAAAGACATAGTAGATATCAGTATTGAACATGCTTTTTAATAGTTCAATGCATCATATCATGTAGAATATTAGTCGATCATTCGTTTTAATACCATTTGTTTCTTGAATTTTAGCACAAGTGTAAAGTAAACTAGAAGTGATTAAATATACGCCTCTTCTCCCAAACTTTCATAGACCACATTAAATGAGAAAGAGATCAGAAATTCGATTCAGAATATAGAAACTTTATATAGATAGAAATCCTTCGCACTACAGCATTATATTTCTTAGAATTACAATACTAATATTCGTAATCAGCATCATACATTTTGTTTTTGTATTTCTTGATAGAAACTAACTTCTGATGGAAACTTTTTTAAAGATCTTATGAGAGATAATTAGTTGCCATCCGAAATGTCACTAGCAAATATTAGATGAAGAAACGGTTTTAAAATGAATTGAATGTGAATTAAAATCTTTCAATATTTTGAATAATGACAATTGATAAGAGATGATCAAGAAAAGAAAGAACAAGAAAATATGAATTGTTTTCGTCAAGAAGTTTTGTTCGAAAATCGATCTATAGAATGATCTTACCAGTCATAGTCCTCGTTTTTTTTTATAGCTAATGAATATTTTTCATACCTCTACATGTTTCAGTTGAATAGATTCATATTGTCATATATTTTAAAATTTCATTGTTAGGTATTTTATAACTTTTCCTTCAGTATAAAATGTAAGCTGAAGTCACTGAAATCATCTCTTTTAGATAAAAATTGAAATGAATCGAACAACAATTAGTGATAAATACGAGTATGTCAATGAGGATTCCGTCAACGAATATTTAAAATGTAAGATATGTAGCAATCCTTTCATCGATCCTGTAAAAACGAAATGCAAACCGAAAGAACATGCATTTTGTCGTCATTGCATTAGAGACTGGCTTCAACGAGATTTATCATGTCCAACGTGTCGTCAAAATGTTAAAAATCAAGATTTGACACCAATCGCCGAGGGTATTTTACTCGATGTGCTTAATAGGCTTCCTGTTAAATGTCTATTGTGTAAAAAAACAGGAATAGAACGAGTCGATTTTAATGAACATATGGATAAAAAATGTACGAAACGAAAAAGTAAATGTTCATCAGCAGATATAGAATGTCCATGGACTGGACCATATGATGAACTTGAAAAGCATTTAATAACATGTCCATATACGGCATTAAATGACATGCTCACTCAAATTATTACTAATAACCGACAACTTACGGAACAAGTGAATCAACAACAAATTCAAATCGGTAAACTTCAAAAAGAAAATCAAGAAATGAAAGAACAACTGCAGCAGCAACAAAATGTAAACATTTCAAAGTCTTCAATTGCCAGTCGGCTATCTCCGCAAGCAAAGATAAGAAGAGAAAGTAAGTTCATGCACGAGACATTTTTAGACTTTACTTCTGAAATCATTTGTTCACTATAAAATATTTATTGAATTTTCGAGAATGTCATTATGATTTAATGACAACAAATTATTCTTACAAATTATTAGATTGGTCAATCGTTCAGAGAAAAGTTAATTGATACGATGCTGATGAATTGAAATTTCAAAATTTATAACATCAACAAACTAATAAATATTTCGTTTTTAGACACAGGAAAATTCTCAATACCAAATAATAGGCCATTGTCTGCTACAAAAGTGTCCTGTGACAATTGTTCTGATTGTTGGCGTGGTGCTGTTCGTGGTGGTTATTTTCGAGGTCAACTCGGCGGTGGTTTTAAACCTGGTCACACTCTTACTCCTTGTGATTGTAATTGTCATAAATAAACTGTCGATCGATTCTGTTGATCTGCCTAATATAGGGCTTACTCTTAAGTTAAGAAATAAATCATAATATTTATCATGTAGCTTGGCCTAAACTAAACTAATCTATTATATTTGTATTTTTCGTTTAAATATTGTTTGTTCTTTTTTAAATAAATTAATCTAGACTTACATTGTTGTATTATATATTTCGAATAAAACATATTCTACGGTGTGATCAACAGCTCCGCAATTGCATTTTCTATCTTTTATGAACTAGATGTTTGCGTAATTTTAGAATTATATGTTTTTTGAATTTCCATTACACATTGATATCATCAATAATTAATATGAGGAGAAACTTTCGTTTACTTCAGTTTTGATTAGAACCAAATTCATCACCAAATACTAACTGTTTTGATATTTCAAAAAATTGGACACAGGTTTCAGAAATAGCATGAGTTCTTTTAAATAAAGTGAAGTAGCTTACAAATGAATACTAGGTACAAAAGATTTGCAGTTTTCAACGAGTTTTCAGATTATCAGCTCATTTTCTTTTCATAACAATATCTTCATGATATAAACTTGAAAAACATCGTTGTTACGAAATGCTATTTTTGTTTTTATGGGTGTGAGTGTGAATAATAAGAATATTCAGACATTCACACTAGCACTCACGGCGACATCCAAACTGAACACTTATTAAAACAATATCTATGCAATCTCCTATTTTCTCTCCTCTCGTAATTGAGAAAAAAAATGTATTGAAGTCTTTGTCTTGTAATACGAATATTAATTCACATAGAAGATATTATTTCCTTCGACATTTCCTATTATTACGTGCATTATTTTATCTGAGATGCGATAAGAAATATTCTTCTTAAGCATGGATACATTTTATCGGCAAAAAAATACATGATTCCAACTTCACAAGTCATTTAAACCAACAAACATAGACTAAGAACTTTATCACAACATATGTTAAGACATGACTTCATACTTGATCGAATCGACTCATTCAAATCGATCGAATCATGACAGTTTGTCGCACATTTACAATCACAATCCAATCTCAGTGTCAGCAGATGTTAAAAGCATAGTACATTATTTTTTTCATCATGAAAATAATACAAAATGAAACTCAGAAATAATCGGATCAATAAAATGTTCTTGGCTCGTAGAACCCAAGTCGACTCTCTCAAACTTGAATCGTTCTCATAGAAATTCTGATAATCCAGATATTTCATAATCACAGTCGAATGGATGTGATTCTTGTTTGATATGAATAATGAGTAAGGTATTCGAGCCAAACCAATTTTCACTCCTCCTACGGCTTCATGATATCGATATATAATTTGATAGAGACTTGAGTAAGATTAGCTTCTGCATTTTTCAATTTAACGGATATTGCATTGACTTCGTTAGATCGACCTAGTTCATTTCTTTTAATAATGATTCCCGTAGCGGACACGTCTACGCATCGTTTCAAAGGAAAATCTTGACTTTCACGATTCTTGAACTCAGGATCAACAGATCGTACTATTGCTTCCCTAATCTATTATGAATTTTGAACTTTTTTCAGTGACTTCATCAAATGATATCGTGAACTTGGGTTTTTTTCGAAAGACAGCGCTCCTCCCTCGAAGGATAACTGACCAAAGCTACTTTTGAAACACATTCACGTATAATTGACCTGACTTTACTGGGATCATTAATATTATTTTAGAAGTTGAATTCAAAGTCGATCATATAATTTTCCAAGTTTTACCGTTTTCTTCTTTGATTGATAAGCATCTTCAACAGTTTAAATGTGAGCATCAGAGTATGCATACTACTTTGCTGGTGTTATCTCTGAAAACGGATCAGTGTTGGATTACTAGTACTACATAATCTTTCTAGAATATAGTTGCCATGCGTTTCTATCTGAAACAAGTAAATATTCAAATTAAAAAGCAATGTTATGTATATGTATGGTATAAGCGGATGTCTTTACATTCTACTTATATTCATAATGAAAAAGTACTTTTACGCATGAAATCACACGAACATGTTTTATAAATGAATTTTTTCGTTACTCCATTATCCGCCTGTTCATGCGATAATAGTGTTGCGACCGAAGGAGGAAAACGACTGTGATCATCTTTTTGTATAAAAAAATGTGACAGAAAAAAACTTTTTCTCAACTATTTCTTTTTCCTTAATTTTCACGCTGATAAGTGTTAACTTTCGTGGGTGTGGGTGTGGATGTGGGTGTGGGGTTGTGGGTGTGGGTGTGGGTGGGTGTGGGGTGTGGGTGTGGATGTGGGTGTGGGGTTGTGGGTGTGGGTGTGGGTGTGGGTGGGTGTGGGTGTGGATGTGGGTGTGGGGGTGGGTGTGCGGGTGGGTGCTGGTCTCTTATCTTCATACACACCCACCCCCACCCCCACCCCCACACCCCACACCCACACCCACACCCACACCCACACCCACACCCCACACCACGCCCACACTCACACCCACACCCATATCCACATCCACACTCACACCCACACCCACGTCCACATCCACACTCACACCCACACTCACATCCACATTCACACCCACACCCACAACCACATCCACGCCCACACCGATACCCACACACCCACACCCCACCAACACTCACACCCCTAAGATAACCAAGAGTGTCTTCGAGCAGAATTAGACAAGCTCTATCGAATGGACACCTTTAGAGTTCCTTAAAGTGTTTCTGAGACGCAATAGTACCTGATTTAACACCGAAAAACAGGCCCACTCTCGAAAACCCTGAATAGATTTGTCCAATGATTGTGTCCAAGTAGAATAATATGAGCTTTATCGATCAGACTTGGTTGCAGCTCCACATGATCTGAGAATCCGTGGAAAGGTTTGACTGTGAGTATGGGTCTTCTCTTCCTTCACACCAACGTCCACATGCCAAAAAACTTTTTCTGGGCAAATTTTTTCTGGACTTTCATGAATTCTTCGATCCTGTGGAGTTGTAATAACGACTGATCGATAAAGCTCATATTGATCTATTTGAAGACAGCCATTGGGCGTATCCACTAAGAGTTTTCCAGGGCAGGTCTGGTTGGCGATCGGAAATAGGCTATTTCTCGGGTACAGGAGTATTGTAAAGAGCTGCAAAGGTGTGCATTCGATAGAGCTCGTCAAGTTCCAAGTGTACTCATGAATAGGATGTGGGGTGTGGATGGTTAACTTCTTTTTATCCACATCCACACCATCGAATAATAACAATGACATTGTTTGTAATCATGTTTATCAAGAACTTTAAAAAAAAAGATGCGATGTGGAGTATCGGCCGTGGATGTGAGTGTAGAATGAAAAGAATACATACACATCCACACCCATACTCAAAGTCGTAAATTTATTTGAACCATCAAAAGCCGTGTAAGTTCCTTTGTTTTTCAATGCAGCAGTGCAAAAAGTTGTCTTAACATTAAAAGATTTTTAAAAAATTAAATTAAATTGTTTTTAGGTTCTCTGGACACTGACAATAAGAATAAACACCATAATGAGGCTTTGCACGGCAAGCATTACAAGAGGGAACGTCGGAAGGACCGCAACCACCACAATGATAAGTAAAATACAACTGTATATGAGGACCATGATAAATATGATCACGATCATAATAATAACCATATTTAGCACGACATGTGTAACCATTACGATGCTTGAAAAGATTCTCATATTCGCCATCGTCCCAACGCTTTCGCTCTGCTTCATTCCATTTCTTGACAGTTGTTATCCATTGCCACGTTCTCTGATCACCTGTATAGTACCAGTCGCGGCATTTGCCACACTTGGTACAAGCACGACCTTGACAAGATGGCTTTTCATACATGATCGGAGGAGCAAATTCTAAATGAAAACTTCACATATGCAATAGAAACAATAAAATAAATGGATTGATTATTGTGTTCTCTATACGTAGACAATTTCCTAGCACATATACTTCAAACCAGGTGAGATGAAGCACCCGTATATGAGCTCTGCGATATTTTATTTCCAACTTCTACCTGTAAGACGCAAATGACATGATAACTTAGGTTTCTCATTATGAGTATCTCAATAAAACACAGCAATGATCATTCATTTTGGATAAGGTAGCAAATTGTTTCAATCTGTTATACTTCAAAGGCGAGAATCAAACAAACTTTACACGAATAGATGCATGCCAATTTCAAGGAATATCTTATTTCACAAGATATAATACAAAAAAAAGCTACATGCTCAGGATTCAGTTATGAAATATTCTAATAATCAATACATTTATACGAATAGGACAATTTATGTTGGTATTTGCTACTTTGAATACTCATGTTTATTACATCAAATACTAAAAACTTGATCGCTTCCGAAAAATCTATGTTGTGAATGCATTTCTTCCTGGTTCCTTCACATTCCCATGCTTTCACTTCTTCAGAAAAAATCTCTTCTCAGATCGAACTCAATGTACACATTAGCCTCTAAAAATCCAAAACTGAATATTCTACGTAATAGCTTTTACTGTGATATAAGAATTCAGTGTTAAAGTTTGCTCCAAATTAAAGTTTTCAGTTTTCAGATGGCCTGTGGTAATCTAAAGAAATCTATTCAATTATATTACAATAAATGCCATCATATCGAATGGCGTTACATATTTTCCATCAGTTAATATATGTAACAAATAACTATTTCAATAATGCCATCTTTAATAATAACTCAAATGCGAAGACTATGCAACATTTCAATAGAAAGAACAAAGTGTTTTTTCCATTGAACATGAAAATTTTCTGAATTTAAAATAATTCGGCTAATGTGAAACAAAAACAATTCAGCTGGAGAATCGATTCTCTGGTATAACGCCGAAAGCAAAAATATCGAAAACTATAATAACACATGGGTCGAAAGGTAGCAATGTGAGTAATAAAAGTGAATTTAACCCTATACAGCCGCATTTTGCCGTTTGACAGCATTGAGCCGATATTTCATGAACGGTTTACATATAGTGGCAGTTTATAATG